ATCAGATAGATTTATTTTTTTATCCCTTTGTTGTTTCAGCAACATTAAATTTAAAAACTGTACTTTTGAGTTAAAATATATATTTATAATTTTAATAAATGACAAATTAAAAAGGCATGAACATTTTTTTATGTTACGGTTCCTTTGGTGTCACGGTTCGATATTTTTTCGAACCGTGACTCCAAAGTATCGAACCGAACCGAACCGTGAATTTTGTGTATCGTTGCACCCCTAGTAATTACTTCTACAATTTCACTCCAATATGGTTGAATAGCCAGGCAACCCCAGAAGATGTGAAAGTGATCAGCTACCAGTTCTCCACACTGTCTCCAACAACGTCCACGTTTACATTGGACCTTCTGCTTTCATTTTAGTTTCTGAGTAGTAAGAAAAATCGAATCATATTTTTCCATGTAAACTCCCCCCCGTGACCTGAACTAGATATATTCAGTTGTGTAATCTTACATTTGTACGCATCAGTTAGTAGGATGATTAGGCCAGTATTACTTTCATCCCTAGGTTTCATGTTACTGTTAAAATAGGATCTAACCCCCAATATTGGAAGTAGTCTTGCTTTTCCAATCATGTTTGCCCCCAAGTCTTTCAAAACTGCATTTCCCCTGCATCTGATGTCCAAACACCTCTGGCTGACCATCGTTTAAAGCGATTATCTTGCTGGGCTGAAGCAAATTCTTTATCATATGCTACCCACCGTAGCTGTTTCATCTGATTTCCTCATTTTAGTTTTTCATATTCTTCAAACCAGATATTTAGGGATGTTCTTGTCCCACAGTTTAGGTTTTCTTTCTGTTCTAAATGTGATTTTCTGTCTCCGATTATTGTTTGAAATGGTAAATCTATTTGAGTCATGTCCACCTTACTATTTTGCTTTGTAGGAAGGGTTGCACCAGTAGATTAAATATCTCAATTCTGCAGCTTTAAAATGACTTTGCAGAAAGCTGTAGTGTTGTGCATCTCACTCTGGGCTTCCACATGAATCCTGAGAGCATTCTGCTCCACATATTAAATCGTTTCATTGGTATTTCAACCAGGACCGACCGAGTTGTTTATGTCAACTCTACTACCACTTGACTTGCATAACAAAGTCCATCTATGTATACCTTCCTTTAATTTCCTTCATTCTTCTTCATTCCATCCAGATTCATTCTTTTAGTTGTATTAGTAGAGTCAAGAGAGGGCTGCAGCTGTATGTTCCCGTCTCTGCCATACATAAGGGTACCTCTGGTCTCTTCAGTAATCATGTTAAATATTTTCTTAATTAGCATTTGGTCATTACCTAGTGGTCTGTAAACATGGCTTATGGTCAATGAGTCCAGTTACTAGGATATATAGCCCCTCTTTCTCTGCTATTTGTCTAATTAGTTGAAAGGGTTTTTTTATTAGAGATTAATATTGCGACACCTCTTGCATGTCTTTGTTTGTAAGATGAGTAATATGTATGTCTAAAAACCAGTTGTTAAACTGTTTCATGTTCCATATTATTTATACGCATCCCTTACCAGAATATTATGACTTGATTTTCCATTTTCATCTTGGTTGCAATTTTTTTCCTTTTGATTGGGCTTCGCAGGGCTTTAACATTTAATTTGACTATATTATATTCCTGGAATTATGTCATATTCCCCTAAGCAAACATGTATAGTATAAACTCCAAAAGTGAAGTTCTGAACAGGGAAGGGAATCCTCCAAATGAAGGGCCCCTCCTGGGAGCACAGAGATCCTCTCTGGTTCTGCGTGTGTGCTTCCCTACTCTCAAGTTGCTCCATATTATACTTGGATTAAACCACATTTATTATCAAAATGTCTTCCCAAGTGTGACCTAGTGATTTGGAGAGCGGCATTTCTGATTCTAAATTGTCCTGATAAACAGTTACTTGTGTCTCTACTCCGTAACTTTTCCATAAGTTGTTTATTCACGAATGGCCCTTAATTTTTGGCCTTTAATCCTCCTTTGTTGTTGCTCTGTTATATGTAATGGGACTGTCAACATAAATGGTAAATGGACTGACGCTTTTCTACACTTCTGAGCACTCAAAGCGCTTTACACAACTTGTGCATTCACCCATTCACACCCATTCGCACAAGCACATTGTTCTAAGTGCTTTCTAAGTAACATTCACACACATTCATACTCCGATGGATGCAATTTTGGGGTTAATATCTTGCCCAAGGATATTTGGCATGCAGACTAGGGGAAGCCAGGAATCGAACCACCAACCTTCTGATCAGTAGATGACCTGCTCTACCGCCTAAGCTACAGCCTTCTTGTATCAGTCTTGTATCCCCAGGTCGATGTCCGAGAGCAAAAGTTTGGTCTTAATAAAGTTCTTCAAGGACTCAGTTGGGTTTCTACGTTATTGT